TATATATATATATAGTTAGATACTATGTGCTGGTGGCCTGAGTCGTCTTTTACTCTCTGTCATCTCATACCACTTGTTCACTCTGCTTCCCACACTGGCTATGGTTCTCCGAACACACTGGGCATGGGTCTGCCTCTGGCCCTCTGCACTTGCAGTTTCCTCTGCCTGGATCGCTCTTCCCCCAGTTGTCCCCTTGCCTCTCCCTCACTCCTTCAGGTCTTGCTGCTCCTCAGAGAGGCCTTCCCTGACCTCCTGCATAGACAGCACTCTCCTATCACCTCTTTCTCTGCTTTACCCTGCTTAATTTTTTTCATAGTATTATATCATACCCTGATTTATTAGTACATATATACTTTTTGGGGGGAGGCAACGTACAGTAATGATTAAGAGCAAGTACTCTGGAGTCACACTGTCTCGCTCTGAATCCTGAATCAAGTTCTTCTGAGCTGTGAGGCCTTGGGCAAGTGACTTTCAACTCCCTTGTGCCTCAGTATCCTCATCTGCAAAAAAATAGGATAAGCATAATAATCCCTTCTTCATAGGTTATGAGTTAATATTTGTAAAGCACTTTAGAACATAATAAACATAAGTGTTCATTAAATTGTATTTCCTGTTGCTCTCCCCTCATGAAGGGAATCTTCTGTGACAGGCAGGGATTTTTGTCTGCTTTGTTCACTGCTGTACCCCTGGTACATGGAACAGCCTGGCATTAAATAGACACTAAAATATTTATTGAATGAAATCAACAAGATAATAACTGTTAAGCATCTGGCAAGGTGCTAGACACATAGAAGCAAAAGCCATATGGGTTCCCTGCCCCATCTCACAGAACTGATAAAGGGTTTTGCAAAGTGTCAAACAAGTAATACGAGTCCTAAGAAAGTGAATTACTACCATTTTCAGAGCACACACTGGGTTCAAACTCTGTGCTAAGCATTCTCAGATATGATCTCATTCTAATCCTCACAACTTACACAGCAGTTCATACTGTTCCCTTTTCGCAGACAAGGACAATGAGGCCGCACAGCTACAGCAGAGGCAAAGAAACAGCATAACCCAATTCTGTCTCACTCCAAAACTCATTGCCTGAATCAGTTGCCAGCCTACTATCCACCAAGATGTGCTGGAAGAATTAATTTGGGGAGCAAATATTAAGAAGAATTCCACAATATCTGATCCTTTTAAGAACCTCTTAAACATATTTGCCTCTGGTCCAAGGTTAAATTCTAAGTCCTCCAAGAAACATTTAGAAAGAGCTTTTCTGCCCATTTTTGGTAGCAAATATCCAAGAACCTCACTCCCACATGTGTCCCAAAGACAAGCGGTTATTTTTCAGTCTTTTCTAGGAAGTAAACTTAAAACTGAGTAAGTCCCTATTTCCTGCCTCTCCCCCCAACCCCGTGTGCAGTGCTCTGCACAGATGATTCCACAGTCTTACTTCTTTATGTCTGTTCCTGAGCTTTCTGGGACTCTCCTTTTTGCCCAGTAGTGTCACTGGCCAGCTCTTCCTGCCTATCACTTGTGAATCCTTAAAGGTGCAGAGGCAGCTGAATCCCATTGAGAAACCGAACCCACCTACTGTATCTTCCTTTTCCCTGAATCTCAGGCAGGGGTATGATGCTTTCAGCACTGTTGAATTTTTGCCAAGGCCTGAGCTGTCAGTTTCCAGAGATCAGAGGCCAAGTATTTATGTATGTGTATACACTGAGGGCCATGGAATTGATTAATCAATAAGCACTCACGAAGCCTTGAATCCCTGTGGTTGGCTAAGGTCTAAAAACTTTGACAACTGTAAGGGCGGAAAAGGACCTGAAAGAAAATAATAACAAAGTAGTAATAATCTGTCCTCAGACCCATTCTTTATTCTTCCCCTGAAAGGCAGGGGTGACCTCTGCAATTAGATTTCTCAGGTTCACTTGAGAGATGACTTCCTGCTGGGTTTA